TTTGCCACCTCCCCTTCCAAGCATTTAGACTGTTGAAAAAAAATGATTCTTCCTTAGAGTCAAAATATGCGTCTACAGCTGCTTTGACCTCGTCGTTTGTCGAAAATCTTTGACCTCCCAAGTGCTTTTTTAGGTTAGGGAACAGAAAGAAGTCTGATGGTGCCAGATCAGGTGAATACGGCGGATGCGGTAACAGTTCAAAGCCACAGTTGTGAATTTCAGCCATTGACTGTACTGACGTGTGAACACGGGCGTTATCTTGATGAAACAGGACTTTTCTTCTGAGCATTCCTCGACGTTTTTCTTTTATTTCCTCCCGTAAACGACGTAGTAAGGTGCAGTAGTAATCAGAGTTTATAGTCTGACCCCTTTCAAGATAATCAATCATAATCACACCTTTCGAGTTCCAGAATACTGAAGCCATCACCTTATTTGCCGACAAAATCGACTTAGCCTTTTTTAGGGGGTGGCGAACCAGGTCTTCTCCACTGTTTTGATTGTTGTTTTGTTTCTGGTGTACAGTAATGAACCCATGTTTCGTCCATAGTAACAAAATGATTCAAAAAATCATCTGCATCGGCTTCAAATAACTCCAAACAGTCGCGTGAAATAGTCAATCGCGTCCTTTTTTGTTCAACTAAAAGCAGTCGCGGAACCCACCTCGCAGACACCTTGTGGAAACCCAACTCGTTGACAATGATGTTTTGAGTTCGTTCATAAGAGATGCCTATAATCTCGGCTATCTCTCTAATTTTTAATCTGCGGTCTCCCATTATTAAATCAAGTCCCATTATTAAAACAAGAAGTCGAAGGCCTTCCAGAGCGGGGTTCATCTTTCACACTCTCTCTACCACGCTTAAATTCTGCTATCCATTTTTTGACGGATGAATATGACAGAGCACAATCGCCTAATGTACTGACCATGTCATCATGGATGGCTTTTGATGATAGCCCCTTCTTATGGAGGTACTTAATGACGGCACGCTGCTCGATTTGCTCCATTCGCGGAAATTATGTCCGATTACTTTGTTAATAAATTTATAAAATCACAACTAATTATCGCACACGTTTCGAACTTCACACAATGAACTAGTCTGAAATGAACTAAATAATGTGGGTAGATTTGATTTTTAGAATTGAATGGATCTGTGTTAGGCCGAGTACTTTTCAATCCACCCTCGTAACCATTTTTATAGAGTTTTTCCTTTAATAAAATATTTAAACTTATAATAGAGGGTAATAGAGAGACTCTGTATATTTTATGGGATTTGTTGTAATAGCGCCCCAAGAATGAATTACTGACTGTGGAGTCGAAAAACTGGTAGCTTGTGGTTGTTCCCAGTACAGAGTGTATCATTGTGTAAGTTTTTAATTGAAGGGATTCCGTTGTAAGAAGAACTTGCCTTAATCTCACGCTTGGCAATTGGATTGGCGTCCATATCGTAAACATCTTTCACCTTTATTAGTATTCATTTTATAGCCTTATTTAGTTTTTCCTATCCTCGTAAATAGATTCTCGAATCATCATAAATATATCAGTTTTAACCCGGGTAGTGGCGTATGTAGGAATATCCACTACTCCATATCGTCCCGTGGGTGTCGTAAGATGCGACATGGTGGAGGCAAACCAGTGGATACACAGCAGCGCCTTCCTAGCAACAACTAAAAAACATAACATTGTAGTTGGCAACCCGCCTGCCTAACTATGGCAAGCATAGAATACTATAATACACAATAGAATGGCTGTCAACCTTACTTTGTAGGAAGATTGGCGTCACCGGGAGCACACATACCAAGCAATTACGTCGTATTATCAGTTATCACTACTACAAACACGTTTTAGACTTTTGATTAATGTTTTTGACACATGAATGTTTCTTTATTTTTGTTCCTAATATTCACAAAATATAAATAGTTTCGGCTTACTGGTTGTAGAATATGTATCCTTTATTTAAATTCAATTCCCCGCTGTTCTTTCGACACGTAATTATTGCAGAATTTGCCAATTTTTTTTTAAAATAATTTGCATGCAGCGACGCTTGTGACGAAAATTGGAAACGATTGATTGTGTTGACATTTATATGTGTGAATTGACGTGTTAGTGATATATTAGTAGCTGCACGGGCTCCGCTAGTATTCTATGATGGCAAGTATCCCCCTATGAGGCAACCTATGGAGTAGGCCTATGTTTAACAGTATATATGTGTGAATTGACATATTTGTGACATCTTAGTGGCTACACGCGCTCCGCCCACTCCCCCCGTTCTATTTATATATGTATTATAGTATTCTATGAACCCAAGGTTCCCCCTATGAGGCAACCTATGGAGTAGGCCTATGTTTAACAGTTTATATGTGTGAATTGACATATTTGTGACATCTTAGTGGCTACACGCGCTCCGCCCACTCCCCCGTTCTATTTATATATGTATTATAGTATTCTATGATGGCAAGTATCCCCCCCTATGAGGCAGCCTATGGAGTAGACCTATGTTTAACAGTTTATATGCGTGAATTGACATATTTGTGACATCTTAGTGGCTACACGCGCTCCGCCCACTCCTCCGTTCTATTTATATATGTATTATAGTATTCTATGATGGCAAGTATCCCCCTATGAGGCAACCTATGGAGTAGGCCTATGTTTAACAGTTTATATGTGTGAATTGACATATTTGTGACATCTTAGTGGCTACACGCGCTCCGCCCACTCCCCCGTTCTATTTATATATGTATTATAGTATTCTATGATTGCAAGTATCCCCCCCTATGAGACAGCCTATGGAGTAGGCCTATGTTTAACAGTTTATATGTGTGAATTGACATATTTGTGACATCTTAGTGGCTACACGGGCTCCGCCCACTCCCCCGTTCTATTTATATATGTATTATAGTATTCTATGATGGCAAGTATCCCCCTATGAGGCAACCTATGGAGTAGGCCTATGTTTAACAGTTTATATGTGTGAATTGACATATTTGTGACATCTTAGTGGCTACACGGGCTCCGCCCACTCCCCCGTTCTATTTATATATGTATTATAGTATTCTATGATGGCAAGTATCCCCCCCTATGAGGCAACCTATGGAGTAGGCCTATGTTTAACAGTTTATATGTGTGCATTGACATTTTGTGACATCTTAGTGGCTACACGGGCTCCGCCCACTCCCCCGTTCTATTTATATATGTATTATAGTATTCTATGATGGCAAGTATCCCCCCTATGAGGCAACCTATGGAGTAGGCCCATGTTTAACAGTTTATATGTGTGAATTGACATATTTCTGACATCTTAGTGGCTACACGGGCTCCGCCCACTCCCCCGTTCTATTTATATATGTACTATAGTATTCTATGATGGCAAGTATCCCCCCTATGAGGCAACCTATGGAGTAGGCCTATGTTTAACAGTGCATTTTTGATCGGCTGTAACGGTAACATATCTATTGGAAGAAACCTTATTGTTGTATGAAGTGCATGTTAAAACTTACTACCAGCAAATTATAAATTTGAGAACTCATGATGGCTTTAGGCGTAACGACGAAGTTTTCTAAGTTTCTGGATTACTAGTTAATTCCAATTCCGTTTTCCATGATATACCATAACACACTGGCGATAATTAAAAACAAATTGTTACATAATGTAACCATTACACTAGGTACTATCGGTTATTGTACGGCTGATACAGACAGATTATATACATATTATTTTAGTAGTTGTTCGGGAAATTTATTCCTCGTAGTCAATTTTTCCGTTAGCCATGGGGCAAGACGAGGTGATAAATTGTCTTATGCTACCAACACTCCGTTGGCTATCTTGTGGACTCATATATAGAGTGAAATAACGATTATCTCATATTATGTATCCCATATAAAAATATTCACCCAGGCGACAGAGAGCGACGATAAAGTGGAGCTTCTTGTACTTTCTTCACCAATTCGTCTGTGTCGTCGGGCGTGGCGAATACAGCAAGTTCTCCCTATGTCCAGCTGTAGACTGACGAGATAACGAGGAAACAGTATTCGATAAATTATTATCCTTATAATTAGCCTTTAATTTCCCACTGGTGGGCAAAAGTCTCTCTTACCTTTGTTTAACTTTCTCTTTTTAGTGATTGAACACTGGATAAATAATAAAGAAAAATGCTTTTAAAAATATTATATATAAATTAAAACTCGCTGCTTACAATCAATGTTATAAAGGGGGGCAGCATTGTGTTTGACGCTGAATGTATTTAAAACCTGACATTTATGACTGATTATCCAAATATGTTCCAACATTAATAATGCCAATGTATTATTAACACAACCGTTTTATAACCTTATGATTATAATAATATTTCAATTACGATATAGGTAACTATATCAGTCAGCATACAACCTGTTTGCTTACAATTTGGCATTTTTTATGTATACGTTCAATCGATTCCTAGGATAACAATAGATCTTTTGATGTTTTTTTTTCTTTATAGAATTTTTGCTTAGTTTCCCTGAATTCGCGTACCGTATCAAACGCTTCAGCTTCACCCTCTTTTGAGGGCAACAGCCCCTGTTGCGCACGAGTCAAATCAATAATGCAACAGAGCGGGACTAGGCTACCCCAGTTCATATAATAAGTATTCATTCTTGTAGACTCTGTCGAAGTATATACACCGCGTAACGCGGTCTCTTATCGTTTTTATTGTTTTTCGGAAAGTAATTCCGCGATTACAACAGCGTTGCGTATCATGCATTGGTACGTACAGGTGTGCTTACCGACAATTTTATTTTGAGATTTTCATTACACTACTTTTGTTCATAACGCGCGGTCTTCACCATATAAGTCGCGCACACAAGAGACGTATTGAGGCCTCCAAGCGAGGCTTTTAATTTAGGATTTCTTAATTTCTAATGCGCGCATTTACATTAAAAATAATTATCGCTTGGCGGTCAATTTAATATACATATAAATATCGAATTTTTTTTTAAATAATGAGCGTATCATTGGTATGGTTACGCAGGTTGCCAAAGGAAGAGATAGCGGCGCGTGTTGCCGCCTTCAGAGCGAAGCTTTCTGAATCGAGCAGTGGAGACAAAGACGTGCCCAGGGACGAATTTGGAAGGGTAACGTGAGTATTGTTTATAATATTAACATATTTAATCAGCTAATCAAATATTAGTTCAACACTTCAATTATAATCGACTGTTCTTAATATGAAATGATAGAAAAATATAAGTAGTAAAATTTACAAACATTTTTCATCCGAATTTAAAAAAAGAGGAGGTATTTAACTCTACTGTATTTTTCTATGTGTGGTTACCTCATAACTTTTCTAGGTGAACCAATTAAAAATTATTTTTATATGAAAGCTGGTGCTTCTCATGTGGATCAAGATGTGACCAGTAGTTTTTGAGATGCGAATTTAATTGACCTAGAATACATTGATGATCTCATTTTATTTATACATTAATTTTACCATTTGTTAAAACTTAATTACTACACAAGGAATTTCTTCGGTTGTTATACATTCATAAATTGAGCGTTGATAAAACCCGGATCAGAAATATTTGTAGGCCGTATGTACACGTACATTGTGTCGTGCGGGAATGGAAGCTGCGGCTCGTAGCGCAACAGCCTTATAGCCTAGCACTGCTGAGCCGTTAAATTGATAAGAAATAAAAACAATAGAAATAAAAATTGCAAGAAACCTAGACAAAAATTTTGAATATGATATATATATATATATATATATATATATATATATATATATATATATATATATATATATATATATATATATATATATATACGTTTCACAAGGAGTTTTCTTCCGCGTACGACCTCTGTGGAATAGTTTACCACCGGCGACTTTTCCGGACCGATACGACCTGGGGACATTCAAGAAAAGAGCTTCATCATTTCAGCATCATTACAGCCCTTCACAAGTCCACTGCTGAACGTAGGCCTCCCCCAAGCAATGCCACAAAGCACGGTCCTGAGCCACCTGCATCCATCGACTTCCTGCATGTCTTACCAGGTCGTCACTCCATCTAATGGGGTCGCCCTACACTACGCCTACCGGTACGAGGCTGCCACTCGAGAATCTTTATTCCCCATCGGTTAAAGGTTCTTCGAGCTATATGGCCGGCCCATTGCCACTTCAGCTTACTAATCCGTTGGGCTATGTCGGTCACTCTGGTTTTACTGCGGATATGCTCATTTCTGAGTCTATCACGCAGAGAAACTCCGAGCATAGCCCTCTCCATAGCTCGCTGAGTGACCTTGAGCGTCCTCATACGGCTTGCAGTGAAGGACCACGTCTCAGATCCGTAAGTCATCACTGGCAACACGCACTGGTACACTTTAGTTTTCAGAGATTCAGGTATACCTGACGAGAAAATGTGTCGTAATTTCCCGAACGCTGCCCAGCCGAGTTGAATCCGTCGATTGACCTCTCGGTCGAAGTTGGACTTACCTAGTCGGACTATTTGTCCCAGGTAAACGTACTCGTCAACAAATTCGAGCATAGTGCTCCCAACAACTACCGGCATAGGTGTGACATGGACATTAAACATGATCTTTGTTTTGTCCATGTTCATCTTAAGACCTATCCGTTGGGAGACACCATTGAGGTCATTGAGCATAGTGCTAAGGTCCTCCAGCGATTCTGCCATAAGGACTATATCGTCGGCAAATCGAAGGTGAGTGATGTACTCGCCATTGATGTTAATACCGTATCCTTTCCAGTAGCTTGAAAACGTCTTCCAACGCAGCGTTGAAGAGTTTCGGGGATATAACATCACCCTGTCCTACACCTCTCTGCAGTTGGATAGGTTTCGAACTCTGGTTCTGTACTCGGATAGCCATCGTAGCCCTACTCCACCATATACCCAATCCCTTCTTCACGAATCAAAGGCTTTCTCATAGTCAACATACGCCAGGCAAATTGGCAGATTGTACTCTTCGGACTTCTGTACAATTTGCCGAAGGGTATGTATGTGGTCTATGTTACTGAAGCCTTTTCGGAAACCGGCTTGTTCGGGAGGCTGGAAGTCGTCGAGTCTGCGTGCGAGACGATTCGTAATGACTCTCGAAAACAGCACGTAGACGCGGCTCAGAAGGGAAATCGGTCTGTAGTTCTTCAAGAGAGCGTTGTCGCCTTTCTTAAAAAACAAGACCACCGCACTTCTGCTCCACGTCTCCGTAGTAGTGCCACCATGGAGGACGGAATTGAAGAGCTTCTGAAGGACTTCAAGTACCGGTGTTCCACCCGCTTTCAGAAGCTCCGCTGTAATTCCATCCTCGCCTGGGGCCCTACCGTTTTTAAGGTGCTGGAAGAGCCATTCTAATATCGCTTAGACTGTTATCATCGGACATAGTGTCGGGTAAGACTTGCTCTTGGATCGTTACTCACACTTGCGTGTGGCTCCAACGATGATGTGTACAGCTGCCCATAGAACCTCTCAATCTCACTCAAAATCTCAGGCGTCCCGGAAACGATGCTGCCACAATCAGTCTTCAGCTTTGACAGTTGGCTCTTACTGCAAAGCAAAGATCGCATCTCTGGCAAAGACTTTGGAGCCCTGGTTCCGCTCGATCGCTTCTTTAATACGAGCAGTATTAAAGTTGCGTAAGTCTCGCCGCATGCATTTGGAGATCTGTCTGTTCAGTTGCCTGTATGCTGTCAAATCTGTTGACGATTGCAGCCTCATCTCTCGTCTAACAGCTATGAGATTAAGAGTGTGATCGGAGAGTTTTTATGTTCTTCTGCGGCGGGTCTTGCAGAAATTAGCTCCGACCGCATGGACAGTTTCCACGAGCTTGTCATTCGTATCGTCCACTGCATTGCAATCTTCTAGGCACTGAAAGCGGTTACGTAACTCGAGCTGAAAGGTTTCGAGATTCTAGATTAGAGAACGAGGAGGACGGAGCGTTGACTTTATTAGACGAAACCTCTCCAACTTAACGTTTAGGTTCAGTGTGCCTCTAACCATTCGGTGATCGCTGCCGGTTTTCACCCTTGCGATCACTAAGACATCACTGAACAGTTGGCGTCTGGCCGTCATAATGAAGTCAATCTCATCTTTTGTCGAACCGTCGGGGCTCGACCAGGTCCACTTTCTGTGGGGCCGCTTCTGGAAGAAAGAGTTCATCATAAAGAGTCCCTCTTTCTCCATAAAGTCAGCCAGCTGCTGGTACCTACGGTTCCGTTGCCCTATTCCAAATTTCCCTAACTTCAACTCACCGCCTTCTCTTGTGCCTAGTTTTGCGTTTTGCTCTTCGGACCTCAGATAATCCAATAATATGCCAGCGCAACTTGTCTACCTCTTCTTCCAGCTCCAGTATCTTCTCCTCAGTCCTCAGGGTGCGTGCGTTATACGTTGCCAGGTCGAGTCGTCGTAGGTGGCAACCGAACCTCCACCGGAGATTCTTAGCACCCCCTGCCCCGCCGTTAGCATGGTTGCCACCGTAGCCAGGAATAGCGGGGCCGCCGGGGACTGGGGGCCGTTTGTTTGCGTCGTTGCTCATGGGGGGATATATATAAAGAGCTTACTCCTTTCTAAGGGGCCGGCAACGCACCTGCAATTCCCCTGGTGTTGCGGTTGATCATGGGCGGCGGTAGTCACTTAACATCAGGTGAGCCGCATGCTCGTTTGTCCCCCTTCTATAAAAAAAGGAGACGGACGACGGATTAATGTAGGTGTATGAGAGTCTATATTTAGGAATTATTCGTATGCAATAATTGTTGTAAACTTATTCATGTTGCACCTTTGAGTATTCAACCAAAAGTATTGTACAAATTATTTAGGTCTAGTATCTAGATGTTATCTAGTCTATGCGACTCGTACAGCTTCATCTGTCTCAGGGCTCGCGGCCTGCAAGGCGCTGCCTGTCCTTTCCAATTTGTGATAAAATTTTGCTATTTAAACACTAAGTTAACTTTCAAGAGAAATCTATAGTATACGAATAAGTAGTAACGATTTATCTTTGAAGATTACTCTGTAAAGCAATTAGTTGGATTCGAATAAACTCGAATAGAATTTGTAAGTACATACTGATGAAAAATTATGTCCATGTGAAAGTTTAAAACCATGAATATCACTACCAATGCGTAAGGTAACCTGTCACTTATTTTTGACAATTGTTAGTCGTAATTTCGACGCGGAAACCAGTTTAGCAACATGCAGCAGCGTTAAAGGTGCAGACGGCTGGATCTGCGATCGTTAATCCACCTTCTAAGCGTGAATTGAGAGCTGATTTTAATCGAAAAAACAAAAAATCAATGTAATGGTGCGAGCACTGTGTCAGGATTCGGTTGTAGTTACTCTTTTTTTTTATTATTTTCTCTAAATTTTATTTTTAATTTATATAGTGTAATTTGTGGGAAATAGAAACCTAAACAATGGCGAATCGGGATCACTGTATTATATAACACTGTAATAATGTACAGAAAAAGGGCCATGTTCAGTTATGTACTTGTAATGGGCTATAATTATTATGAAGAGGGATGTTACGGAAGTGGTTTTATCGGAACTGGATTCAAATTCTGATTAAAATTTATCGGAACCGAAATGGGAATCTGAATCAAACCTCCATAATATCTCTAATTATGAAGATGACCCTTATCGTGCGATATGGCCTACGTATACTTTCGTACTATACGAGTACACCCTATAATGTATGTTCTCCTGACCGATGTTTACACTGCCTCAACTTAAGGTATTATCAGAAGTTAATAACGGCCAATAAAGACACGTTTTTTTTTTAACCTACCAATGACCGATGTAACGTTTAAGCCTTTACGGTGAGCTTAAATGCATTTTCAGAAACTCGGGAACCATCTGAACCCGAAAACAAAAAAAATATTTCGCCACATACGTTCTCACGTGGGTTTCGATCCCAGTACCCGCGGGATAAAAGATATCCAGATACTCAGTACACGGATATAAGGTTCATTGCGTAGGTCAAGCCTAACCAGTGATGCCAAGTTATCGGACGGTGATATTTAAAATCGGACGCAATTAATTTCTCTGGCAATTATAAATCGCGTAATCGATTCGAGCCGCCGCACGGCCACGTACAAACGTCTAGAGTAAACAAGCGGTGGGAAATCAACGCAAATTCTGT